GGGGGGGGGGGGGGCGTGCTTTAGTCTGCTCCACATGCGAGAAATGCGAGTCTGGAGATTATTTGAATTTGACCTGAATGGATTGGGGTTGTTGGGATTTTTTTAGATTTTGAGATTCACTCGGGGATTTGTGAGGTGGTGATTGCTGCCGAGGGGTGTGGCGGTGGGGGATTGATTGGGATGGAGGCAGATGGAGGTAGATATTTGTCCGGATTTTCCCGCGGTAGCTGGCGGTGTTGGTACGTCAGTGACCGAACGAAAGGGAAAACGTTAACTGTGCCAATCTCCGCTTTAGTCACTCTCACGCTCGATAGCTGAACTGGTTATTTTTCTTCCTGAATTTAATTCGGGGATTCTGATGCACGTGTTGAGACACCAGCTCGCGCGAGAATAAGGGAAAATAAGGAAGCGAAATGGTGAATTGTTTTTGTCAACAGAATCGCTGCGTCATCGATTCAACTGGGGATTGATGAGCACATTTGACGTATGAGGGGACTGAAAAAATTGAGAGGGGCGTGGGGGAGGGGAAATGTCCGGAGATGTCAGTGGATCGTGTCTCTCCAACGGGTTCAATCCCCGGACGACGTTATTCCCCGTATTACTAGATAATTGACGGGTACTCGGATAGATCTTCGATCTATCTCGATCAGTCGAATGCTCTGAATGGGATGAATATTTTTGCTGACTCGGTCGCGGTTTGTAAACGACCGCCACACCTTAAGTAGGTCAGGTGTCACAAGACTCCTCGGTCGTCCTCTTACGGAGCAATTTTTTTTTTCACTGGACGTTGCATAATTCGTCGCGCGTGACTCCACCAAATATATCGTAGTAAATAATGAAGTTTACCTCTCGGTAAACGTGGTACGATGCTGATGAGCGATGGGGGGGAGTTTTGGCTGGAGAATGCACTTGACTAGCGTCTTTGGGGTTTACGACGCCAGCGACGTGGTCACGTGTTGAACTGGAGCCCGCGAAGTTTGAATGCCGCGGCGGCCACTTGGGTTTTGGGAATGAAGTGGTGAGGGCGCAATTTATATTTTTGGCAATTGAGCATTTGCATTCATATTATAAATAAGATATTTAAGGAGGGGGGGGGGGGCACAGACGTAATCGTAGTCAGGGGTGACCATCAATCCTCCGATTCTTCAATATTAATAGAATTTCCGACTGACATTGATGCATTTTAGATTTTAGAATTCAGGAGTGAAGTGGTAAAACGGTTCAAGTCGATTTTGACTATTGGCCAGTTTTTAGTGAATATCTCGGAATCTAAGGGAGATTGCTAAATTTTTGTAAAAATATTTTTTGTAGCACTCAATTTGCTCTAGAAAAAAGGTTATTACAAAAATTTCGATATCTCCTTTAGATTCGGAGATATTCTTCAAAAACTCAACTAAGAGATAAGTCGACTTAAACCACTTTACCACTTCACTATTGAATTTATTTAGATTACTAAAATAACTGGAAATTTAAATTTTCAATCGATGGTGAATTAAATATTAAATAATATAGATCTGTAAATTGTCCGTCTCTGATTAATAAATAATTCGGAATTGGAATATTTAAATTGATGATTACTTCCATTATTAAATTTCAAGAGTTATATTAACTAACTGACTACTTAATAATTCAACGGGAACTATAATTTATGGATATGTCTGTCCCTGATCGTGTGTCACTTGCTGGAGTCCAATCTCTAAAAGGAGAAGGTTCCGTGAATTTTAATTCCCTTGTGACCCAAAATGAAGAAAAAATTGACTGCTGAACCAAATCATGAAGTAAAAAATGTATATTTATATTCATATTCATAAAGATATCCAAAAAATTATCCGCAATTGCAGACGAAGCATTCTAAATTCGTACAAAATACCAACTACGATGCTTTGTTCTTCATCCGCTTGATCAATTGACGAGAGATGATGAGTTTCTGAATCTGCGAAGTCCCCTCGTAAATCTGATAAATCTTGGCGTCCCTCATGAGCTTCTCCACCGGATGCGCCATGTTGTACCCTTTGTCTCCAAAAACTTGTACTGCATTAGATGCGCATGCATTAGCAACGTCAGATGCGTAGCACTTGGCGATGCTGGCGAGCATCGGAGCAGTTGGGAGTTTCTGATCGGTAGCCCAGGCTGCCTTCCTCCAGGCGAGCCCGGCAGTCTCGACGCCGATGCCCATGTCAGCGAGCATGAACGCCACCGCCTGATGCTCCGCTATGGGTTTACCAAAACTCCGTCGCTCGATAGCGTATTTAGTGGCCTCGTCCAGGGCTCTGTGGGCGAGACCAACAGCCCCCGCTGCGACTCCCGAACGGGTCAGGTCGAAGGCCTGCATGGCGATCTTAAATCCCTCACCCTCGCCTCGAAGGACGTTCTCCCCGGGGACTCTCACGTCCTCGAAGTTCACCATGCGGGTGTCTGACGCCCTCTGACCCATGTTCACTTCCTGAGAGACGGGATTTCAGTAATTTAATCATAATAGGGAACGTGCATGGAGCTCAATTCTTACTCACTACCCTGCACGGAGAGAAATGTTCAGCAAAAATTACGGAACTCACAAATCGCTCACCGATTACGGAATCGACTCGGAAAATTTAAGTGACGGTATCGTAATTTTTCACGGGAGATTCACACAAAAATTACGGAACGCTCTGGAAAAATTCCGTGACAGTTCCGTAAAATTTCCTACAACCACATTTCGCTCCGGAAAATTATCGAGAAGTATTGCCTAGGTGTCTTATGATAATTAATTGAAAATGACTCGTTTTCGAGGCCAATTTCTCGGTCACGAGGTCACGAAGACGGTAAGGTGCCGCTTCATTGGTCGAAAAAGAAGAGAGTGGGGAGTTGTCGCCCTCCATTGGCCGAGGCGCACCTCAAGATTGGGTTAGGTCGGCTGGAGTCATTCTGGGATTGGCCCGGCGCTCGACTGTCTGTGTGACGTCATTAGCGATTTCAAATCGTTTGAAATCTTCAAATTTTAACAATTAATTATTAATTAATGAGCAATATTTCAAACATTTATGACTTTGATCCTACAATAGGTCTTGTGACGTTGAATGCCCTATTTAAATGGTGAATTCCATTGCCAATCGGTAGACTGATTTAGCAGTTTTCTCCGAGTACAGTGTTGGATAAAAAAAAATTAATTTTAAAATTAAATTTTCAAATTTCACCGAAAATTCAATGGAATTCCAAATTTTTTAGTGGCGCGCAATAGACAATTTTCTAATTTATTTAAAACTTCAATCGAGTTACTTTGCGACCCGGTTTGACGCCCGGAGAGTCTCGATCCACGAGAAAACCTGTGAATGCTTTGCCGGCCGGTGCGTCCGGGTCTGGATGGGTTCTCGCTAGGACGAAGTACCACTTCGCTACTCCTCCAGCAGTTATCCACATTTTCGTACCATTGAGGATCCATTCTTTGCCTTTCTTCACTGCTTTCGTTATTATTCCGTTCACATCTGAACCCGCCCCGGGCTCTGTTACCGCGTACGCCTGGGGATTTGGTTATTTCAATATTGATTTCATTTGTAAAATTCAGGGAGGTGTTGGAATAAGAGAATATGTACGGGAGAATTCCACCGGAAATCGTAGCAAATTTGCTAGTCATTTTTTTCGATTTTTAAAGTATATTAAAATTTTTATTAGTTTTGCGCCGATTCTGTTTAAAAAATCACAGCTTTTGTAACCATTTCTTATGTTGAGCTATTCCTATTAAAAATGTCCCAATAAAAAAGTGGTATAATTCCACTGTTTTTTTTTTAGACAAAATAGCTCCTATTGGACATTTTCAATTTAAAAAACGCGCTGTAAAGCGGAACTTTTCCCATAAAATTCTGCATTTTCAATGACGAAATTCCTTGAAACTCCCGTGAAACTAAAATGTTTCAGGCAAAATTTTTTAACAATCTAGAATGTTCTAGCGACTCCGTTAGGTGTTCTACGAAATTTTAAACTCGTTATAAAACTCGCTGGAAAAAGGGTCGCGCAGGCAAATTCAATCATCTTATGCCGCCAGAAGAATAATTTCTGTGATTTCCTCTGAATACGTACCGCAAGAATTGGTTCTTCAAGCATTGGCACAAGATATTTCTTTTGCTGCTCCTCGTTGCCAGCAATGATGACTGGCGTTTGCTGTAAAGACTCAAGAGTTACTTCAGCTATAAAAGGGTCAATTTCTTAAATGAAAAATTTTATTTACTGCAATTCCAGAAATTTGCAGGACTGTCGATATGCCAGCGCAACCGTAAGAGAATGACTCATTTATTAGACAACCATCGAATATTCCCATCCCCGGTCCACCTAGAAAATTATTTTACGGTGACAATATGCTAGAGCTACATGTCAAGAACCCGAGGAAGCATGAATTAGAAGCGAAAGTCGCGATTAGACAATGATTTACTAATGATTTACTAATTTTCCAACTATCCCATGATCCATATTCTGAATTAGTTGATAACATGGAAATTAACAACAACATAAATAAATTTTATTGCCAATTTGAGAAAACAATTTGAGAAATCTATAAAAATGTACCGATTTTTCGAGGGACACAGCAATTTGTGAGTCCCAATTCCCATGCACGTTTCACCAGTCGCCAAGGAAATTCTCCGGTTACGTCATGGTGAGCAGCTACGGGACTAATTTCTTCTCTAGTAAATTTCTGAGCTGTTTCGAGAATTTCTCTCTGTGCATCTGACAACTCTAAAAACAGCAAATCAAGGAACTGGAAGGCCAAACATGTCTGAGATGAAAATCAACTTTTAATTGATTTTTCTAACGAATTTATGTACACTGTAAGAAAATTTAACTCTGAATATTCAAAAACTGAAATTTCACGTAGCGCTGAATATTTATGCTGAGTTTTTCCGGAGAATTACTGTCATTCAATTCTGCTGATAATATTCAGCGACGGAATCATGAAATGCCCAGACATCGGTGCAAACATTAATTTTAAATTAAGTTAAATTTAGCATTAGTTGATTGACTAATATTACCCAACAATTTTTTAATTATTAAATTCATCATAAATTCAATATTCAAATTTCGAATTATTTTATCAATTGATAATTGAGTTCGGAAGAGAAATCCTTTCCAGAAATTTAGAATTAGTTACTCAATACTTAATTAACATTACCATATTGTCAATTATTCAATTCATAGCCATTCGAAAATTTAAATTATGAATTATTTTATTATTTTTCAAAATTCAATGAAGATAAGTAAACCCTAATTATTTTAAGGCCCAACTCCCCTTAATATTAACAATAAAATGATTGATCCCAATCCCCAGAAATTTTCATAGAAAATCCTAAAGTTCAAAGACTTTTGTCTCAACTCCTGAGGATTTTCTACTGAATATTCACTCACGAAAATTGTACCCATTTGAAGCAGTGGGGGATCCAGAGAGTGTTCTGACTGCAGTCTTTCTGACTTCATTGACAAAAATCTGCAATCACCCGATAGCATTTTCATTGGTAAATTGATAGTTCAACAGACTGAGCAATTCAGCTAAAATAAGATCGGTCCAAAGATCAATTATCGATTAACGTAGAATCTCACCTTCGCCAACATGTTTTTACGAGAATGATGAATTTATGTTCATAAATGATAGTGGATATTTTGTCATAAATTCTTATCAACGTATAGCGACTCACTGCAGCCTCCGATTCACCGCTCGAATCCGTCGACTTTCTTCTGAAATGTGTCGTATTTCGATGCTTCCTCTCAACTGTGAGCTGGGTGGTGCCCCCTATGCAGATTGAATATGTTACCTCTTTATTTACCTTCCCCAGTTATAAATTACCAAGTCCAAGTCTGATGGATGCGAAGCACTCTGTAACATGGAAATTAATGCAACCGGACGTGGTTTTGCCGCTCGAAAATCAAACTTCTAAATCAATGAGCGAGTCAATCAACTGTTCCCGCCAACTTTTCTCGCAAAACACATAACATGAACTAGACTTTGAATTGTTATTTTCATTTTGCGTTCATACTTAGATAAGATAATTGGACGATTATTTCGTGATCTTCAATACCATTTTGCTATTCATAATCGAGCAATTCCCCGATTGATTATGGATTCATAAAAAATGGTAGAAAATACGAAATATTCATCGAAAACATAAAACACGAATATCAGAGAAATAAAGAAGAAACTGACTGTTGTAATAAATAACATTTATATAAATATATATTTCATAATGACATCGAAAATAATGTCGTTAATTACAAATGACTTTCATTTTAAATTCATAAAAATTACAATTATGATGTTTTATTTTTCATTTGACGCGAGATGATAATTCCTTGAATCTGCGAAGTGTCCTCGGAAATCTGATAAATCCTGGCATCCCTCATAAGCTTCGCCACTGGATCCAGACGAGTATGCCTGTCTTTACCCTGATTAGCATGTTTATTAGGTACATCAGAAGTGCTTCGTTCGAGACCCCATACAGATATTTCAGTACTTGTGCGTAAAGTGAAATTTCCGACGCATTGCGATAAAAATAGGTTTTAACACTCGGGGGAAAAGTGTTCTTTGACCCTTGGAAGGGTCAGTCTAGTACTCGCCGTCAGCGAGCGCTACTCTGACAGAAAAACAGTTGAAAATGATCAAAAAAGAATTTTTTGCGCCAAATATGCGACGTGTGCGCCGAGATTGAATTATGAATTTTTATTGAAAAAATACATTCAGTATTTTCAGATAAAATTTATCCCCGTTTCATTTTATATGAAACGAGGGATTGTAGTTTATCCTTTCGACCATTCAATAATCACAGACAAAAAATAAATTCTTAAAGAAAATAATAATAATGTTATGACGGCAATTTGTAACTTGGGGACAAAATATTATTGATAAACTTCCCTCTATAAAAGATATTTTTATCGTTCGTTTCTCCCCAGGGGTCAAAAAACACGCACTTGTATCGAAATATACTATTTCATAAAGATATCGAAAATAATGTCATTAATGACAGATCACATTCATTTAAAATTCATAGAAAATTACGATTAAGAAGCTTTGTTTTTCATATCCTTAAGCACTTGACGCGAAATGATAATTCTTTGGATCTGCGAAGTGCCCTCGTAAATCTGGTAAATCTTGGCATCCCTCATGAGTTTCTCCACTGGATACTCGGAGTTGAACCCAGCCCCTCCGAATATCTGCACAGCATCGGAGGCGACTTTGTTGGCCATGTCGGAAGCGTAGCACTTGGCAATGCTGGCAAGCATTCCTGCTTTCGGGTCCTTCTGATCGGAGGCCCAGGCTGCCTTCATCCAGGCGAGTCTGCCCGTCTCCACCGCAATCTGCATGTCTGCGAGCATAAAGGCCACCGCCTGGTGGTCCGCAATAGGCACACCAAAGGCTTTTCGCTCGAGAGAGTATTTGGTCGCTTCGTCGAGGGCTCTCTGAGCGAGACCAACAGCTCCACACGCCACTGGGGGCCGTGTTCTGTCGAATGCACCCATGGCTATCTTGAAACCATGGCCTTCCCCGACGAGAACGTTCTCTTCGGGCACTCGGACGTCTTCAAACGTCACCATACGAGTGTCTGACGCCCTCTGACCCATATTAATTTCCTGAAAAATGAGAGTGAGATGAAGAGTGGTTGAACTCCGCTCCCCCGGAGAAATGAGTTTCACGTATGAAACTTTATGAGGAAATATTGAGGAAATATAAAAATTTTTTCGGATATTCTCTTTGGAAACTGGTAGATTCAGACTGAGATATTTTCACATATGAGATTAAAGCGCCGTATGTACCGATACGGAATAATATATATTCTGAATATTATATATTTTATATGTGGAATTAGCCTGTATTATACATATTTTTTACATATTTTTCCATGGGGGTAGAGTTATTTTGATAAGAATGAGATAAATATATTCGCATCCTTCATATTCGACTTTGGAAAAAGCTCATTACAATGCAAAATATCGGGTTTAACCGATTATGCGTTTTCCCTCGAACATTCCGTAAACTGCTATAATAGCTATAATATCCGCTGCTATTTTCTCCATTTTCATCTTCAGAATTTTCCGCTGCGAAATTTACTGTATCCATCCTAACAATGTTGGTTACGCAAGCGAAGCGTCCGCAGGCATTTTAAAGGTGAATAGATTGTTTGTCAGAATGACTCGGCGGTTTCTCAATTATGTTGATAAAAAAAAATTAATCGGACTCAAACTCCAAACTCGACTCGAAAAATTCTATGATCGCGTTATTGTATGGAAAATAATGTAAGTTGGTCATGAATTGACTATAATAGTCCATCAATTGTCCCTATAGCATCGAGCATCCGCCATCACGTATTCACGTATTCGTGCTGACTACAAAATTAAGGGCAACACTCCACATAAAAAATCTCACGGGACTTCTTCATGAGATTGATAACTCTCGGCAGGAAATTAGTTTGAAAATTTGGAAAATTAGCGGCACTCTGTTACCGCTTAACCCTAAGCGGTCGCATGGTCCCCAAATGCGTCCCTGCGATTGGTCACCTGCGCGGGGATTCCCCGCAGTGTTATTTAGGCTTCACCGTTGCCGAATTCACTCTACACTGCCCGGGCGCGTTTAGCGAGTTTCCGGCAACGGGCAATTTAATTTAACATGCGAGAAAATGGTTCATCTGTTGGAAATAATTCTTTCTTTAGAAATTTTTGGAAATATCGTGGGGAATATCAAGGGATCCTACACTACAGATCCTTGAGAGTAATGATTCACCTTGCGACCTGGTGTGACTCCCGGGAATTCCCTCTCCACTATGAACCCTGTGAATGCCTTGCTGGCTGGTGCTTTCGGATCTGGATTGGTCCTGGCCAGCACGAAGTACCAGTTAGCCACACCTCCGTTGGTGATCCACATCTTCGTGCCGTTCAGAATCCATTCGTTCCCTTTTTTCACAGCTTTCGTAGTTGTTCCAGCTACGTCTGAGCCTGCACCCGGTTCTGTTACGCAGTAAGCCTGTCGTATAGGAGATACAAACATGAATGAATTCTCCATGCTCAGAGAGTTCGCTGACTTCGGGACATTAAATTGGAATAAATAATGGAAATGTTTTTAAATAACAACACCCGGCGAATGGATTACATGATGATATATATGAATTCTCTCAACTTCCTACAAGACAGTTTGATCGAACCGGGTTCAGTGTAATAATTAAATTATTCCGCGTTATTCAAAGGGAGGATCCACTGTCCCGTTTCACTTCTCACCGTGAATTCCTTCAGAAAATAAAATATTCATAATATTTTTCAACAAATAATTAATTCCGGGGTACTTACAGCAAGGAGTGGCTCTTCGATGAGTCGACCAAGGTACTTCTTTTTCTGTGCATCGTTGGCAGCGAGGATGACGGGTGCTTGCTGAAATTATTATATAAACGAAAGACACAGAGTTAGTAGAACTGATACCCTCCCAGGAATTGCACAAGTTGAAATCGTTTGCATATAACAATATTGACTGCAGCACGATTGAAATTCGTTTTGTTATTTGTTATTTGTTATTTATTTATTAGAGACCCAACAGCCTAGACCAATTACAGGGTCAAATCATTTAACATTAAAATCACATAGAAACAAATATACACATATTTACAAACAATACCAGTTGAGGAAAATGGTGATAGATAAAAATAAATGGCATATAAACACTATTTTACGCTTATTTTTTACGTTTCTCTGAGGGATTTGACGAAGCTATGCGCTTTAATTGCAATTGAGGATAGAGGGGTCGTTAGAATATCAATGGAGTCATCACAGAAATCAATAAACTTATTCACAGCATCACACGCATACCGCAGAGGCGAAACAACACTGTCTCTCGATTCTGGTAGATAAAAAAAATCATTTAATCTTGAGTTAAACGGTGGTACCCTGAGTGGCAACAGACTAAGAAATTGAGGACAGTCAGTTTTCATAAATTTTTCGCGTCTCTAGAGCAGAGTAAAATTTATGAAATTCAAAATTCATTTACTCATGATCTATTGCGAATTAAAGAAAACGGATGCTTAATTTCTTTTTTATTCTTTAGAGTGTAACGAACATTAAAAACGATCGGGTACGCGATTTCCCCTAGTTATTACAATATTAAGGCCCAGTGAAGACTTAAATTTTACCGACGTATTCCCTCAAAGAAATGAACTTCTAGGGCCATGTGATATTCACTTACTCCAAGACCGGACGCTTCAAGGGCTGTTTTGATCCCAGTGCATCCATAGGCCAGGGCCTCAGCAATTAAACAAGCGTCGAACGTTCCCAGAGCCAGTCCACCTTGATTAAATTAGAAAACTAAATTAAATTTGTGACTCTATCCCCTCAGTCAACTCTCCTCCATGAAGCTCAATAGATCACCATATTCTTGCGGTATATGACTGTTCATAAGACCCAACTCCCAAGCCTTCTTCACAACCGCCCAGGGGTATTCTCCAGTTCTGTCGTGGTGAACAGCCACTGGAATTATTTCCTCTCTTGTGAATTTATCAGCTGTCTCTTTCAATTGCTTTTGTGTTTCGTTGAGCTCTGGAATCGCGGATAAGGTCTTTAAATTCACGTTGATGCAGTATTTACTTCCTTACGCTGAGAGAAAACACCGCTTCATATCACAGAACTAATTTCTTCAACCAAATATGTCGTCTCTTAACGACGAATGACTTCGAACAAGAATTTCGGAGAATGAGATAGGCCATGTACGAATCACGTGAGGTGTTCGTGCAATGTTAGAAAAAAAATTAAATTTCATGCATAGTTGACTACTAATTTTCAGGACAGTGACACTGAATGCGATTTGGGGGAAAATAATAATGAAATTTCAGGTAATTCGTTCAAAACAGTGAAAATTCAGTAAAATTTCAGGATTTTAAACAGGATAAAAAGAGAATTCCTTAATTTATTTGAATTTCCAGTCTAATATGAATATTTAGTGCCAAATTACATAGAATTTTTAGTTAAATGTGAAATTTCAGTGGTGGTTAAATTTTAAAAAAATTCCAAATAGTGTGCTGGAAATTTTAGACAAATTTTTAACCGCGTGTTCAAGTCGTGAGCACTTTACGACGATGTGAGAAAGTTTTGGCTCAAGAAATCGTCTTTTTCGCGTTAGGAGATGAGAAAATTACGTAAAATACTAAAAGTTTCGCCCCAGCGGGTTTTTCTATTGAACGAATGTGGAAGTCATGCAAAGGAATATCTCTGGACATTTCTGAGACATGACCTTCGCTTGCCCTCAATTGCAATGCATTTAAAAGAGACAAATTAACTCATTTTCTTATTTCAAACTGGTCTTATCGTTTGGAGAACGTTATCTTTTTTTCGTTTAGCATCGTATTATTTCATGCCGAAGAGCCCTGATTAATTGTCTGAAACCTACCGCGGATTAATCACATATTCATGCTATTTTTTAGCTAACCCAAAAACGCAAATTAAGCATTGTCGCGGTTTTCTGACTCTAAGATAACCCTACGCTATCACCGACGATTTCCATATCTTGTAATTAGCAATTTGCAACACAGTTAAACAGTTTCTGAACGGAAATTGGATTCACGTGACACCGCGACTGCCCAACTAAGACAGATTTCAAACCATTGATCAAATATTTATGCCATTTTCTAGCTCGACAAATTATTTTCGTGATAAAGGGTCGCTTTTTCTCTCAGTGTATAAAATCCGCAAAATATTCAAGCTCAAACATTTTATTACCAAAACTGACGCCATGGGAGGCGCTGACTGAGAACGCACGGTTGACTGTTTGCTTAGCAGCAGCACTAAACACCTGAAATTATTCAATTGGTCATCGAACATTACTTATCATTAATTGAATTCCCCATGGGAATAATAAGAAAATTAGATAGAACAATGCAAATCAGTTCGTGGACTTCCTTCGGCATATTCATAACTCAGTCACTCATTCACCGATTAGTCCCAGCCCTCATTCATTACGAATAGAAACTTGTTATTACAATCAAATGAAATTATTCCACCTCACCAACAATTGAAATGCTGATAACCGTCAAAATATTTCTCAACGTTGACAAATGAGTCATGAAATTTTGATGAGTTGTTAACATTTCCAGTCGGAGGTCTTAGACTGACGAAGGAGCAGCAGCACTTAATTGATTCATAATTATTAGAAATTATCATATTATTTGAGTTCCTTTCGACCACTGTTCGATCAGCAGCAGTAATCAACACGAAATAATGTAATTAGTATTAATAATTCATGTGATTAATTACTTCAACATGATAGGATGTTATGGCTGTCTGTCTACATTTTCAGATGATAGCCGGAAATGAATTCTCAATAAACTTTTTCTTAGTTATTTTTTCATTTTGATAATTTTGTAATTTTAATAAGTCGAAAGGTTGTGCAATTCAAGCCAAGAAAATTTAGCACCGACTGACAATGCTCTTTTGGCGGTTTGCTTAGCAGCAACAATAAAAACTCGCAATTATTCCATTCATCATTCGATTCATTATTGAACATTATCTCCTTCGATTAAATTCCTCCTCGCGCTGGTGAGTACCAATGACAATAATGACATTAATGACGTCACTAATGGTTAAATAAAAAAAAAACAAATGGTTTTCCGGCCTTCTCATGCGCATTACGAGTAGAAAGAACTTCATTTTTTCCAGAAATAAGAAATTCGATTTCATTAACAATTTTATGAGTGATTAATATTCAAAAAAAAATTCAAAAGTAAGGCGCGGAAAATAGACACGTGACTCTTCTAAGAATCTGTCCAACTGGAAGGTAATTCATAAATTGCGATCAGGCTAATCCAATTTCACTCAAAATTCGTTAAATTATTGATTCTTGAGGGAAAAAATTAAATTTTCCGTTTTGACCAACTTGCCATTAAGTACGATGAAGTGCAGTGCGTCGCCCCAATTATCGTGATTCGCTTCACATACGAGACCGACAGATAAACAATTCGAAAAAAATTCAAAAGATGAACAATCGATAATAATGATTTGCTATCAGCAATTTTCTTACCTTAGCTAACATTGTGGTAGAGTAAAATGAGAAATCTTTGGAGAATAAATGAAATAACTCTACGGCTGCCAATATCAACTCTAAATTTGGCGACTTACACCTCTATTTACAAGTCCCAATGGACAACTGATTTGATGCAATGATGCCTCTGCTATGGGATCGGAAAGTGGTGAGCCCACGGTAAGGGGTCAAAGTCCACTCCACAGTCTTCGCCCCATCTGTGGTGCGTTCTACAACTCGAAGTTGCTGTTTTCGAGCAGAACACTGTATTCGTCGTGGACGGTAAGAGCTTGCACGTGGAATTCATCAATAAAAAAAGCTCGTTTATCGCGCGCGGAGTGAAATAATAGTAGATTGTGTTACTAGTGCGTAAAGTTTCACTTTTTGACATGCGCGCGTGGCGCATCCTATTTTTTGCAATACCCGGCATTTCATAATCTTTCAGGAATTATCTATTACGGGGTAAAACGGCCCCTTTTGATTTTTTGATAAAATGAAATAATTTTTTTCCCATGGAAACTACACTTATTCCCCTTTAGAATAAGCCTAGACTGATCTCAATTAATGAATTTGTTTCTGAGTTATGAGTATCACAAAAAAAGTCAAAAGGAGCCGTTTTACCCCATTCTCCTTTACACATGAAATTGAGGGGCACAGTTGCAGAATTTTGAAAAAGTTCGTGAATGCGCAAACTCGACCCGCCGAGAAACAGCCAATGGCGGCTTCGTGCAATCACCGGTCGAGTGCATAGAACTGTCATGTCTCAGTATTTTCCCCGATTATTCGCCCCCGGAAACGTAATGGAAAGAAATTTCGAGGTGTATTCATGATCGTGCGTAAAATAAGATCTTCAATTTTTCTTAATTGCTCAAGAGACAGATTCGAGTTGTGAAAAAGACGTTTTGGAGCAAAGAGTGAGGTTAGGGACGACAATCGAAGTGTCAAATTGGAGCAAGTGTTCTCAGAATCATTGGTTGTACGTAAACATCAACTGCAGTGATGTTCATTTGATCACAAATGGAAATAGACATTCATCCTTTGACGAGTAATCCTACTGCTGCTTGGCAGGACCTGTCGCAGCACCAGAAGGTCATCAAGATCAATGCAAAGACACCGACGACCGAGGCACCGGAGAATAAAGTGAGATTTTTCAGTCAATTTGCTCTTTCAGAAATGTGAAATAGATTAATTTAATATTGTTTGACACATACTTAATCTTGTAAAGTTCATTAATTTTTTTTCTATTCTCACTTAGTAAATTCAGACCTTAAATTCACTTTCTTTCTGGGTTTTTAACACTTCACGATGCATTGCGATCTCCTCGGATAGAGTTGGAAGAATTAATGACCCAAGTTATTCTTGTAGAGCAAAAAGCCATGTTCACCAAAGATCTAAAATATTCGAGATTGAGAAAATCGAATTGTTCTATGCCCTTTACTACAAAAAATTTTACAGATGTAACTGACCATAGCTATATGTTAAGATGTGTTGTAAATGCTTGAAAAATTGCCAACTGTAAATATAAATTACTCAAAATAACCAGAGAATATAATATTGCATACTAAATATGAATGACAGTGTATAATAGCTCACTATATGGGTTACATCACTCTAAAACAATTATTAAAAAACTGTATGCTATTTTATCAGTTCAAGAACTCATTTTTGTGATATTGAAGGCCCTCGATGGCCAGTACAAGTTCTTACAAGAACTCGCAGCGAATTTCGTTAAAAATAAACGGAAAATACTATTTCATTGTTGTTGCAGCTGAGAGTTGTGTGTATGAGTGATACTCACTCATTAACTCCTTATATCAAGTTTGATATACCACCTGGTGATATTTTTATACATGCTGGGGACTTTACCAAGTGTGGAAGTCTCCAGGAAGTCGTAGAATTCAATAATTGGATAGGTAAATAATCATTACCCTCAAAAATCTCTCACAAAAACAGAATATTGACGATTAAAAATGGATTGACGCGGTTTTCTTGTGAATTAGGTAATTTGCCTCACAAACATAAAATAGTAATAGCCGGAAACCATGAATTGTCCTTCGACCCAACGTTCACTCATCCATTCACCACTCACAGCAGTGGAGACAGGCAAAAGCACATGGGGACCAGTATTCTGGACAACATCCCAACGCTGGGAATGTCCAAGGACATTTTAGCTGAAGCCATTCGGACGACTAATGTCAAGGATTACTTGACGAATTGTACTTATTTAGAAGACTCAGGGATAACCCTGTATGGAATTAAAATTTATGGGAGCCCTTGGTGAGACTCAGAAATGTCCCCTAACGTAAAAATTAATTGAAGGACCTAAAGCCTCTCCTACTAGTTTTTGGAACAATTCAATTGAGTATGCAATTTCACCGTATTATTTTCGGAAAAATATTTGGTAGGAAAAAGTCAATACAACTGTATTTTCTTACAGAAATTCTTGGGTACAAATTTCCTGATTTTTTTAACATGTTTTCATTCGATTCTCATAATGAAATCTAAGAGAAAAAAATGGACAATCATGGCTAAGAATTTTTATTTTAAAAAACCCAATAAAAAAATTGCATAGAAAATTAACATCTATAAACTTTTTTTTTAAACTTTTTTCAGAAGAGAGCGCTAGGTTTTTCCATTAAATTTTTTCATGAGTTATGTATTAAATTTTTTTTATCACGACTTTATAAACGGAATTTCAGGCAACCGGAATTTTGCAAATGGGCCTTCAATGTCCCTCGGGGAGAGGCCTGCCTCTCAAAATGGGATCTGATACCCTCGGGTACTGATATTCTAGTCACTCATACACCACCAATTGGTCATGGGGATCTCTGCTGCAGTGGAGTTCGGGCTGGCTGTGTGGAATTGTTAACAACAGTCCAACAACGGATTAAACCCAAGTATCATGTCTTCGGACACATACATGAGGGTAATGATTCATTCATAAGTTCTTTATTATAATGAAGTCGAAAAGCGTAATAATTATGGGTTCATATCACCATTAATTACTTATATATTTCGAAAGAAGCAAGTTTAGAAGAAAATTTGGAAATATAGCGTTCGTAAATCGAAAAATCGCCACAAAAAATGGCTTGCAAACTCGATTTTATAAATAATTTCCTTTTCAAGATGCAACAAATTCACTTCTTTCGCTCCGTTTTACCACTCCACCACTGAATTCATTTAATACCAGTCTGATAATGTTCTTCTTCACAGGATATGGTATATCTTCTGATGGAAAAATCATTTATATAAATGCATCGACCTGCGATCTCAATTACCTGCCCAGTAATCCACCGATCGTCTTTGATATTACGTTACCGGATGGGTTCGATAAAAGAACAAATTGAATAGCTGTTATTAATGAATCATTTACTCTCCTGAGTTACTCATTCATAAGCTGAATATTCACAGGGTATTTTAGAACGAGAAATGAAGGAGATTGAAGCTTTGAGGATATCCTTTTACAAATTTGTCAATTGAATTGCATGAGAAAATTTGATTATTGAAATTATATTCTTTTATAAATTAATAATAAGAACCGTTTAGACTTTCTGAAATCTAATTTTTTATAAAACGACATCGATTCCTGATGAAAACCTAAATTGATTGTATATAAACTATTTATGGGAACAAGTATTCCCAAAAAATTTTAATTATTTCGTGAATTCTAAAAGAAAAATTGACTTTCTGTTTATATTTTGAAAAGTTTGCCAAAGGCTCGAAATACGGAGTCACATTCAAACAATCGAAGCTTAAATAATAAAATAATTGCAGAATAATATTCAACTGCACATGTTGACGAGAATTTCGGTGGAATGAAAATAGCTGAAGTACTTGGATATCCTTAATGACGTACAAAACACAGAAGCGTTGACTATCTACAACAAAAATAGATAAAACCGTAGAAAAATTCACCCATTCCATAAATTTCCAACCAACGTCATAGAATGGGAAATGAGTATGAACAGATGTCAAGCGCACGCTTTTATTTATTTTTCCATTTCAAAGGAACTCAATACTTTAATCGTCAAGAGGCGCTGAGACGTGCACAAGAAAATTGTCTAGTCTTTAAGTGGCAAGAATGTTGTATTTTTCATTTCGAGAGAATGACAATGAGATTGTACCACCGAGTGACAGAAAGCAAATTCTGTTTACTCAATGATAATGAAAAATAGATGTAGCGTGAGAATATTCATCTTTATCTTTTAAACCTGTCGCTGAATTCATCACTGGAGTTGCCAAAAATTTTATCATGACCGCAGCAGATTTTTTTTTCATTCAGGGGGGCCATCAGCCCGGAATTTTAATCAAATGGACTTATTTCAAGACATTTGGAATACTCTCAGTCTCTCCCTCTCTGTCTGCTTCCAATTGAAAAAATAACAAAGCAAAATCAATTTTCTTTCAATTTTATTTCAAGATTGTATTGTGACCAACTGTAATCTCAGACTTCACAACGCATATTCGCTTTTTGTACTTTATACCATGTAATAAATTAATAGGGAAACAATTATTACGCTTTCTTGGTCGTCTTATCAACCCAATTGCCTGAGACCCGCTCTTCATTTGTGGACATCTCGGAGAGATCCTTACGCAATATGTTTCCCCATCATCATTCCTAGTGTTACGATTTGCATTCAATTAATATCAAATCCAGGATAATTTTTTCATTTGTCATATAAAAAAATGTTGTCTCTATTCATTTTATCGTTGACATTCCAAATAAGATGTGGAAATACATGAAAAGATATGTTAACTATACAAGTGATTGTAAATAAATCGGTTTATCAATTAAATCAATCAAAAGATGAATCTATTCACTTTTGGGACAGTGTCCCAAGTTATGATCACATGTGTTTCATTTTTTCTATTTTTCAAGTCATTATTTTAACTCTTAGACGTCAGAAGAATTTGATGGACACTGTGGTTTTATTCATGAGTGATTGCCCGTCAATTTTATACATGTGAATGGTTCTGCAAAAGTCCATCATCATTCCTAAAATTACGGTCGGCATTCAAGTAATATGAAAGCCAGGATAATTTTTAATTTTGTCAAATAAAAAAATGTTGTTCCCCCTATTCATTTCATCGTTAATATTCCAAATAAGATGTGGAAATACATGAAATGATGTTAACTATGCAAGTGATTGTGAATAAATCGGTTCATCAATTAAATCAATCTTAAATGATGAATCTATTCGCTTTTTGGGACACAGTTCCCAAGCTATGATCACATGTGTTTCATTTTTTATTTTTTAAGCGATTATTTTAATTCGCAGACACCCGAAGAATTTCATGGACACTATTGTCTCATTCTTGTTTCATTTCTCTTCATTCGAAATTGTAGCAATTATCATTGACTTTCTGTATTCGTGTCTCAACCTCATTCTCCAAAAGTCTACAGCCTATTCCTACGAAAAAATATATATTGGATGACCTGAATATCGAAACGTATCGCCGAATCGATGTAATGTAAATGGAAACAAGGAGAAAAAAATGGATGATGTCCTGTGGCGATTTTTCGATGATCGTCACGTGATTTCAAACGATCCCTAGAATCTGCTCTTTCCCCTTTCTTGTTGATGTTGTGAATCATTCCTTTTGTTTATTTAATTTTTATTCATGCTCACTCGGCCAATTCTCTTAATCTTATCCTAAAATGCGTGTAACAATAAAACTGCTAAACGTACGGTTACAATTTGAGTTTTCTTACATAACGTTGTTGATCATACGAGTTAACTCAATAGGGTACGTTTGAAAACAGGTACGATACGGATTCACCATTGTGGGTTCTTCTTACTGCCTCAGCAAACATCATCGAGACGTCGATGCACTGAAAATAATGAGTAAAACATTGAAAACATTAATGGATAATCAGTGTTTTACATAACATTATCTTTTTTTGATATCCCCTTACTTTTTTTCATAAAATAAATTGGGTGATATTATTTGTTTTTAAATTATTCACGAACAAAGTCATAATTCTTAGAAATTTGATTGTTTCAATTATTTCTTTGTATCTTATTCAGATTTTTCTAACCTCAATGCAGACCATTAAAGTTTAAATAATAAAATAATAATAATGAAAGAGAATTTCATTTAAAAAATGAAAAAAATGGAAAATCCTCAAAATTGATGTATTATTCTCTATTTTATTCACCTGGATCTTGGGACAGTCCTTCATGTGTCCATCCTGAGGAATGGTGTTGGTGACAACTACAGCCTCAAAGCATGCATTATTAATTCTGCTGATGGCTGGACCACTGAAGATACCATGAGTGAGAATAGCATAGACTTTAGTGGCTCCTGCCTCGAGTAATTTCTCAGCAGCATGACAAATAGTTCCACACGTGTCTGCCATATCATCCACGAGAATTGCCACTCTGTCCTTGACGTCTCCAACGAGCACCATGCTGGCTACCTCATTGGCCTTCTTCCTCTCCTTGTGGATGAGGGCGAATTCAACGTTCAGACGATCAGCAATCGATGTTACTCTGAAAAAAATTTCAAAAAAAATTGAACACATGCATAACAAACGTTTACATAACATTTTTTATAACCACTCTATGTTTTTGACAGGCAATCAATTTGAGGAGAATTGATTGTTGTTGAATCATTCAGGGAAAAGAAAATGTTGAGGATATCCAAGTATCTTTACAGTTTGGTACAGACCACACTGTAGATGTTTAATTGACAAATTTGTCAATTAAATTGCGTGAGGAAATTCAATTACATTTTGCACAGAGTGATCAGTTTTTTAAACATTTGTTGTTGATAAATTATTTATAGAAAATGCTCGTAATATAATAAAATAGTAATTTTTATAATTATTTCACTCAAAAGTAAACTTTCTAATTTTTTTTCAAATTTTTAAGCTCTGTTGTTTGACTACAAAGGTAGAAAGGCATTTCACTAAAGAAAAAGTATCCAAAATACATGGATATCCTTAAAGGGAAATGTCAAACCATTTAATCATTTAAAATGTTTGTAAAATGTTTACATCACATAACTAAACTCTCAGGGACATAAAATCACTGGAGTCACTAGAGTCACTGGAGTTAAAAATTACCTCTTGGCGCCGCCAGCGTCAGGTGACACAATGATACTATTTCGCCACTCTGCAATATTCTCTTTGATCCACTTGAGAACAGCTGGTTCAGCGAATAAATTATCAACAGGAATATCAAAGAATCCCTGAATTTGACTGGCGTGAAGATCCATCGTGATAATGTGATCAGCCCCAGCCACTGACAGCATATTAGCAACAAGTTTCGCTGATATTGGTGCACGACTCTGTAAAAAAATGAAGCATTTATTGCTTTCATCCAAAAGTAAAACCATCCTGATCAATTGCATAAGTCTCCTCAAGTCCATTTGCAACTGGTAATCCCCCTGCAACTTCAAAAACACCTGTTAATCCTTTCCTTTTTCCTCTCCCTTTAAAACTTCAATTTCCACCCAAAAACAATTATTCTGTAAAATTTTGGCCTCTGGGCTTGGACCAAGTGCCTCTCGTGGTAGAGGACAAAATATGAATACAATGACCAGAAACAATCATCGAATTCTCCTGTCACAAATTCAAATTAAAAAATAAAATATGTAAAAAAAATAAGATAGATGAAGGATAAAGACGTGTTGCAAATGCACCCCAGTTAGACTCGACGGGTACTGTAAGTAAAGCAATTTCACTAAGTTATGATTAATTAACAAAAAGACATTAGCACAATGCACATAAAAGTATCCACGAAGATTGAAAAATAGACGATAAGACTAGGAATCGATGTAAAACTATTCTAAATTTGTCCTGAATGACTCTCTAACTCGAATGAACGATGAACTACCGAATAGTAACACTGAGTGATAAAGATGACCATGTAATTTCTCTTGATACTTTTAGGCACATCGAACTGTGAGTAAAACACTTCGTCATTCAATGGCAGTCTAAAGAAAATATGCTGTAACTTTACAAAAAGCTGGTGGTTATTAATGTCTCTCATTGGATTAATAAACTCGTAAAAAATGGATAGAACAAGTCAATGGCTCGCATCCATGAAAAAATAATCAGGCATTAAGCAGTCACATTTCAAGTTGACTAATTCGAGAAAAAAAAAGTTCAATTAGTAATGTAAATCACAGTGTCCATTAATCGTGTGAATAAGCGACAGAGTTTAGTTAGTACCCAGAGAGCAAATGTATTCCATATACCCCAGGACAACCAGAAACAATGAAAACAAAACTCGTAATCATTACTGATAACGCAACATAATTTCGCTATCGTATTAATATTTTGCCCTCTCATTCAATGGATGTCAAGAAAGTTGTTTGATTCTGTTTCTCAACTGAAAAAAAAAGTAAAAAAAAGTCATTCATTCATTGGGGTTACGGGGAAGTCGCTGTGCCTTGCAGCCAAATTAAAATTAAAGAAAAAAAATGATAATCAAAAGGTCTCGTATTGTTAGTCCTACGGATAATCAACTGCTGTACGTAATTAATTGAAAAGTAACGATAATTAAACGAGTTATAGTAAAAATTACAAAGAAAACTTCACTCTGAAACCTCTAAAATCTGCTCTCAATTCACGTTTATTCGATCGGTTTATTTATTTTTTTCTTTACTTTTGCTTTCTTTCGATTTAATTTCGGATGATACTCACTGTCGACAGGTCGGGCACAAAGTCCTGAAAATACGCAACTATTCAGAGACACATTCCCCTCAATAATTCATTAAAAAATCAAATAAACTCAGAAGAAAAATCTATCCTAATCGTCCATAAATCACAAAAACATTGACAATAACAATCGACCCCAGAATCATCACTTGAAAACGTGTTTTGCGATTAATTAAAAAAATCCCCGATATTTGCACTGGGGTCCGTACATATTCTCACTCGTATTTTGCAACAGTTTATCACTGAACGATAACCCATCGCCTCAAACCAGTGCTTTTGAAATAGTTCCAGGGGGGTCTCTCCTCGATAATAAATTATCACAGTGGAAAATAATGAATTTCCTCAATAAATCAATATCCCTAACATTCTCGTGGAATTTAAAAGCCAGAGATTCACGAGCGACTTCAGCTGTGAAACAAAAACTCATCAATAAAAAATTTCCTCATTCACTTCCTATCGACAAAAGTCTGATAAACCAGTTAATATCCATAGCATGAAGTTATCTCACGTGTGAGAGAATGAAAATATGAACTGACGACAGAATCACAAGCGTGTTACGATGGTCTAAGCGATTTCTACAATAGACCTGATGGAATCTGTAATAAAAAAATATGACAACATGCATTTTGTACAGTTGATAATATCGAAAAAAATATTGTTGAAGTATATTGAACGCTTGACGATCCCCGCAGTGTAGCAAAGCCGATTGAGAATAAGCACCTCTGAATGGTGTGATAAAAAAAAATTCATGTGGGAGATGTGACATTCTCGTAATCCCCAGGATGATAAACAATTATCCAATTTAGTACAAATGTTGATATTTTTTTCCCCCTCTGGATGCATTAAGCTACAGAAAGAAGAAGAAAATAATATTAATACCCTGAATTTCCACTCGTTCGACTTCATCACAACTGTTTTCGCGCCGTTCTTCTCAGTACCATCACCTCCCTGTGGATTATAGTACACAAAAAAAAACAAGAAGAGACAAAACAGAGAATTATCAAGTCATAAAAATCCTTTCTCCATTGCCCTAGATATTGCAAAATTGTTAGCTACTGAATTACTCTTCCCTGATCCTCCAGACCCTCCAACAAATCACCAAAGCACATTGTACTCTTCGGTTTTGGATGAGAGATTAAGAATTTAGATACATTTTCAGCAGTTTTTGTGCTGTTGTAATTGGTGGATATAGTTTTGAAAATAATGAAAATAAAATCGAGAGGAATGCACCTTGGACGGTCCTACCTTGTCCTTCTTGTCCTGCCTGGCATAGGGGAAGCAAGGGATGACGGCTGTGACACGCGATGCCGATGCTATTTTACAGGCATTTATCATGATGAGTAGCTCCATCAGATTGTCATTCACCTCTCCACTTCCACTCTGTACAATGTAGACATCTTCTCCCCTCACTGACTCGCCTATCTCGACACTAGAAGTAATTAATTCCGATAATTCATTCAGATGTAAATCATGAATAAAGGATTGTGTGAGTCATTGGTAAGTGGAGAGATATTATTTTCGTGTGTGGTTTATCTCGAGGATTTAGTGAAGTGAAAAATTGTGATTTTTTCATTTTTCCAAAACATATTTATTTGTTTTCTACTGAAATATGAAAAAAATATTAATATTTCCATTAATTACGAATGTTTCTTATTCATAAATATCATTTTCTTATGAATATTCACATTTTTCCTACGAGAATATGAAAAGAATTCGTAAAAATAGAAAAATAAAATCATTTTTCCATTGGGAAGATGTGAAAACATAATCTGTTCTGTCATATTTCACCTATTCTCCACGAGTTTATAGCAATATTCAAGGGAATAGTCGTAACATAAATGGAAATGAAGGATTAAAATTCATTTATTTTTACCGCAGAGGTGTGAATGCCAAGTGGAAATTTCCTCTCTAAAATAATACAAATAAAGCTCCAAATGTATTGATTTCATGGCCACAGGGGTTTTTAACTCTTCGTTTTAATAAACCCGTTTTGTCATTATCTCTGCCAGCAACTGGACCAAACTGTGAAGAGTGATTAATATCTCCACGACGCTGGAAATTTCCCGTTTCTACCAGCTGAACAATCTCCCGCGTAAATGATTTTTCTCAAGTCTTAAACGTCATCAACTCACACGAGGAAAATTATTACCGAGAAAATTAATCATCAGGGCCTAATGTAGAGCGATAAATTCCACAAGGTCACATTTAATTCACGTTCCAACTAACTCGGAATACCCCCCCCAATTATCGAACACACACATTCATTAGGTATTATACAATGCCGTCAATTTATAGATTTGAAATGATTACTCAATCGATCACGTGAATTTATAAATATGAGCCAGGAAATAACGACGAAAAATCAACAGATCAGAGATCATAGAACCCAGTTTTTATCTCTCAATTACATCAATCGCTCTAAGGATACAGAAAAAAAAATTGCAATGCAAATAAATGCGAAAAAAATTGTAATCAACTATTGTCCTCAATCAATCAATCACGCAACGAATGGATAAAAATTAATGATTAAAAAACATTCAGTAGCGAACAAATGTCAGTGAATATAACTAAAAACTCCTGAATGTTCCAAACATTGAAAAAACACGAATTGATCTCCAATAATAATGAAACTACGCGTCACATATTGACGCAACTGTTGTTATTTCCTATAAAAGAAGAAAATAAATCGATGAAAATTCTACGAAAATTACAGTACATCACGTGAAAAAATGTCGGCCCCACAGAATAGATTAGAAATAATTACTCACTAAAACGTATGAATTTATAAATATATGAACCAGGAAATACCGACGAAAAATCAACCCAATTTGTCCCTCTCGATTATATAAATTGTTCTAAGGATGAAGGGAACAAGTAAATTCCAATGCAAATAAAATGGAAAAGAGACCTAAATGAACTATTGTCAATTAAAACCCCTTAAATGCTCCAAACATTAAAAAAAATACGAATTAAACAATCGGAAATTGAAATTCTATTCGTCAAAAATTCACCAGCCCCGAAAATAATTGGTGTTATCATCAAATGACTTTCATTAATTATAAAATAACTGCTGTTACAATTAATGAAAATAACTATTGTTATTTTCTACAAAAGAAGAAAATAAATTGTAGCGCATGACATAAAAAATTCGGCCTCAGAATTTTCCCCCTTTCCACGTCTACATTATACAATACCATCAATCTACAGATTTAAACTGATTACTCGCTAAATCCCGTGAATTTAAAAATATGAACCAGGAAATAACGACGAAAAATCAACCCAGTGTTTATCTCCGGATTACATCAGATGCTCTAAGGATACAGAAAAAAACAAATTCCAATGCAAACAGAGTCGAAAAAAGAACAGCTATTCAAGAAAATCTAAAAATAAATTATAACAAATTTTACAATCAACTAATATCAATGAAAATGCCAAAAAACCCCTGACCGCTCCAAAAATAAAAACCCCAAATTAAACAGCAAAAAATGCCAATGCTACTCACCCCCCAAAATAATGAACTACGTCACAAAATGACACGGCTGTTGTTATTATTCCCTCCAAAGGAACAAAATAAATCGATAAAAATCCCTCGAAAACTAGCGCATCAAGTGAAAAAAAAATGTCGGCCCCATAGAATATCATTTCCCTCTTCCCTGGTCTCAAATACCAGACGAAAGCGTTTATAAATTTTTTTCTCCTCTTTGTAGACACGTGGTTCTAGGCATTGTAGCGGAGTAGAGGCAGCATGGAGCACCGAGGCACGCGGGAATATCCCCCCATGGCGTTTACCACCATGAAACCGAACGAGGAGAAAAAAAACAACGACACACGAAGGAAGCATAATTACCATGTCTCTAGGTTACTGAATTTCTTAGTGACAACTTTTCCAGTGTCAATGCCGAGTCTGTCCACTATCCTCTGGGCCAGATCCGGGTGTGATGTACCACTGAAAACCTTGATATTCGGCATTCTGCTCTGTAATACTCCGCGTGATTTCTCCAAGTTTGCTCGTAACAAACTCTTGGCACGTACTGGCTGGGACACGGGCATCACTGTATAGGAAGAAAAAATTATGTACCGTGGTGGAAGAAGTTCCTCTAACGGGTAGGGAATATCACAACCCACCAATCAGCGAGCATTTACGGCCAATCGGAAGTGACGTTGCTACTGCGGCAAACTCCGCCCACTCACGAGCACGTTTTCTTATCGCTTAGTTTATGATTATTAATATTTTTGGAATTTTTTATTCCACCGCCGCGATGATTATTATCAGGCTAGAAATGTTTTTCGGTTTTTCTCCGACTCGTTCGTCACTTGTTTTGCAGATTTTTTTTCGTTCCAATTTTGAGAAATGTTTGGTCGCCGATTGCGAAAACCCCCTTCATGCGTCACTAGCCGGCTAATCTGATTATACTAATTGTTTTTGGGGAGTTAAACAAACATTAGCATATGAAATTTGGAAGGTGGGGTTCAAGAACTGTAATTGTTTACGTCGGTATTTTATTGAATTATGGTTTGGAGAATATTCGGGGAATGGGTATTACCTGCGGGAGACTGCGAACACGTGGGTTTTTTTTACTTCTCTTCGGCGTGGGAAAAATAAAAGAGTTGAATGATAATTTTTGTCGGGTTCATATTTACCGCCGGGTCGGAGGCGCTGTCGTGGTGGGACGAGAGATGAATTATCTAGAGATTAATGCAGGTGCGAAATGAGTAAAATAAATTGATTAACCAACAGTTGGAAGCGACGGTCAACGGGTTTTCCCGTTTCTGATGCCGGCAAATGTGGCGCCGGTAAATTCGTGGTTATTTGCGCGAGGCGAGGTTTTATTAGTTTTTTTATTTGAATTTTGAGGACAAATCTTCGTCGCTGATTGCGAAAACCCCCTTCATGCGTCACTAGACCTTCTGACCTCTCTTACGCCCTCATTCGCCTCTTACGCTCTCATTTGCCTCCGACTCTCTCATGCGCTCTCATGCCCTCCCGCGATTTTTTTCCGCGCTCTCGTGCTTTCTCTTTGTATATGTTAGCATTCCCAAGGGCCACAAGGTTCACCGGTAAAAAGTAAAAACTTTTGTATATGGGGGAGGGTGGGGTAAAATGGACACTTTAGACTTTTTAAAAATTAATCATAACTCTGAAAAAAATTTATCAATTGAGCTCAGTTTAGGCTCATCAGAAAGGGGAAGAATCGTTCTTTCTATTGAAAAAAAAATTATTAAATTTCATCATCATTTCAACCGCTCATTAACATTTTTAAAAAAGTCAGAAGTGTCCATTTTACCCCAATTTCCCCTACATAAATGTCAATTTAAATACTAAATAATCCATTATTTAATACTCAGTAGTACTGAAAATATTTTATCGGGTCGGCGGGGATTCTCTCACGATGCGACCACTCAAGGGTTAATATCAATTCATTTAGTATTTAGAAACGGACAATTATATCTGACCCTCACAAAACCTAGGATAAAAATCAACAAAAAATTTGCGCAGGCCGGGCCTTAATCAGCAGTATTAAGTGACGGTCAACGAATTACGGCTCTGCTACCGTCAAATGTGGCGCCGAAGTTACTCCGATGGTAAACTCACTGATTTGTTGCGCTCGCGCGGTTTTTTCCACAGCTGAAGACGCGAGTAAACGGGTGGTTAACGTACTCGGGTGGTGAATTTTCGTACAAAATTACATTAAAATAACCCAAATAGGGGGAAGAGTCCTCGGAATTTCGACCCAAAAAAATAGTAAAACCCAGAGTATTAATTATCGACGTAAAAATAAATCAGTGAAATTTCGACACGACAGACTGTTAAATCAGTTGAGTGAGGGCGAACGATTGATCGTTGATATTATAACATTAACGTTGCTCCGAGGGTTTGAGATACGATAATGGCAGTGTGTTGACATTAACTTAAGCAAGAGAATTGTATTTAATTAATGGTAAAGGGGTTTGTGGTAAAAAATGGCTAATATTGCTGCTCAGAGAATACAAAGGGAGTTCAAAGAGGTTATAAAGAGCGAAGAGGTGAGTCGACAAAAGATTAAACGTCCAGTTGCACTCCGGTTGGTCCTGACAGTCTGAAAATCCCAGTACACCCCCCAAATGATTCTGACATTGTTAAAATCACGTTAATCATGGAATCGAATTATGCAACATTAAATCGACAGTTGGGAAATCCCTCGATTGCTCCAGGGATTCCTTAGACTTTGACCCCGTTTTGTCTTAATTTCTCGTTACTCTCATGATCGTGTAAATTGGACAGTCAGAATGACACGAGAACCCATCGGTATGACCATATTGTGACAGAAAATACGAGTGTAGGGGGGCATGACTCTGGCGGATTTTATTTCTGGCAAAATTGCGAAGCGATTGTGCCATTTTATGGCGCATGACACGTGTATTTTCACTCTATGAATTTACCTTTTGATGTGCCGTCATTATCGGTACCGGAGGTACTCGGTGATCCCTCTTGCTCCATTGTTGAATTTTTTGTAATTGGAATCTACTGCTGGAGCGGAATGTTCATGGCACTTTTTTTTTTCAACTGGAGTGAGACTAGCCTCAAAACAACAGAGGATACAAGACACTAGTGACCATATTAATAAATTGGATTATCTCGTCTGGGAATGTTTCACCATTTTGTTATCAATTTCTTGGTCCTCCCCCTTGTGTCAGGGGTTATGTTGATGTCGTTTTGCTTGAATTTCAATGATTTTTTTACCCGTTTCAGAGAATTTTGTTTGCAGGGTTTATCGGTGCGGAAGTTTGTTTTGATTCATTTGGGATTGGGGGAGATTGCGGGGGAGGGAGGTGTGACGCAGTACGCTTCGTACGTCGGGGGCTCGTTGTTTTTGTGAAGATTTTTTTGGTGATTCTTTCAGGTAGCTAAATGTGCGATAAGAGTCGAACTTGTTAATAACAGTTTTACGGAGCTCAAGGGGGAAATTGCTGGACCACCTGATACACCTTATGAGGGGGGGAACTTCGTGTTGGAGATTAAAGTGCCAGAAACTTACCCATTCAATCCTCCCAAGGTAGTTATGGATTTTAAGAGTTATTTATACAGTCTGTTTTAAATGAGTCGAAAAACTTTTCGCTTTCTCTTATGTTTTCAATTTTTTTGATCAATTTTTTTTATTCTGATCAGTTAAAATCAAGCTAGGATACAAAAAAAATGTTAGCAAAAAAATGAAATTTCAGGTTCCACTGAAAATTCAGTAAATTTCCAGAATTTTCAGCAGCATAAAAACCTGAATTTCTTAATTTATTTGAATTTTCAATTTAACATGAATATTCAGTGGCAAATAACATTGAATTTTCAGTGAAACCTGAAATTTCATTATTTTTTTCCTCCTAAATTGCATTCAGTGTCACTGTCCTGAAAATTCAAGAATACATTTACCGGAATATTCCAGTAAATATCCTTGCAATTTTGAATAAACATATTTAGGATTTTGAACGAGTTAAAAGTGTTAATTTAGCCACAATTGGCACTACTATTGAATTTCTCTTCCCAATTCGTGTAAAATTACATTTTTCATATTTAAGGTACGTTTTATCACGAAGATATGGCACCCCAATATATCCTCAGTGACAGGAGCCATTTGTCTAGATATCCTGAAAGATCAATGGTAATTCAAATAGATGAAATCATAAAATCGATCAGAACCAATTGAACTAAATTTTCTGAATTCTTTGTAAATCAAAAGGGCAGCAGCCATGACCCTACGTACAGTCCTGCTGTCTCTGCAAGCCTTATTATCAGCAGCAGAGCCAGATGATCCCCAAGATGCTGTGGTAGCTAGACAATTCAAGGAAAATCCAGACATGTTTCGTCAAACTGCTAGACATTGGACGTCTGTCTACGCAGGAGGTAAAATACTCATTACCAAAATTATTGCTTAACTAGACTTGTAAGGATTCAAAGTATTTTCTAAATTTGTTCCTTTAAAATCTTTAAATTCGATATGCAAAAAAAAATTTGTTTAGTGGAAAATAAAAATTCAATTAAATTTTTTGAAGGAAATTTATCCATTAATTTAAGATGACAGTGGATTGGCCTCAGCAAACGTCAGAAATGTTGAACGGAATAATTAAATTTAAAAACAGCAAAAAATTATTTTTGCCGATTTAATGGATAAATTTGATGATTGAAAATCCTCAAATCTAGAGTTTGCTTCCTACGAAACAGTAACGCGTAGTTGAATATCTCTGGTATCACCTTAATTAACGACAGTTCAATGATCAACAGGACCAGCAAAGATGCCAGAGTTGACGGATAAGATAAGGCGACTAACGGACATGGGAATTGAGGAGCACAATGCACGAGTAGCTTTATCCTCATTCAACTGGGACTTGGAACGTGCCACCGAACAACTCTTCAGTTAGTGATAGTCAAAAGAAATGAAATCCTGAAGCCACCCTCATCAACTCCACTCCCCCATTATTTAGAGTTAAAAATCATCAGTAATTAATAAAATGACGCAGACGCGTCTCTCGTCCACCGAAAAAATTTAAGCTTAAAGACAATATTATCAATTAATGAAATTAAATGGGCAAGTCACTGGATTAAATTAAATTGAACTCCTTCGAAGTATGGAGAACCACCGAAATCGACAGTAAATCATTTTTTCTTGTATAATAGGCCTGAATCCTGGTAAATTAACAGTGTACGATAATTGCTGGAAAAACAAAAAATCTAATGCCGATATTATTCTTTGGTATCGAAATTTCTTCATTTACTCTACTTTGCAGAACAAATTGTGTGTATATTTGATGAAAAAAAAACATCGTGATTCTTTTAGTGCTAGATACGAACATGTAAAAACTATTATCGCAGTTTACGAACTTTTAAATATAAAGAGAAGAAATGATTTGTATATTTTTTTGTGTTCGCTTGGTGCTCGTAGGGAGATTGATACATACATTTTGTTGGTGTTTGATCAGAGGATTCCATCCATATTTTCAGATTACTCAGATCAAATTTGTTATAGATTTCTTCAATTGAGTAGCGAAACAGTGAAACAGTTCAAGTCAATTTCGACTTTTTAATGAATATCTCGGAGTCTAAGGCAGATAGCAAAGGACAGAGCGCGTTGAGAGCCACAAAAATTTAGCTATCACCCTTAGACTCTGAGATATTCCTCGAAAACTCAGCTAAGAGCTAAGTTGACTTAAATTGCTTTACCACTTCGCTACTGAGTTTTTTTCTGACATCATATGGTAGTTGATTCAGGCGTGATTTATCAAGAGAATTATTTGATGCAAATAAACATGAAATTACTTGATAAATAATTCTTCGCAAACTGAACATCATGAGGAGTAATCGGGGGGATTTCATGCATGCCTTTGGATCGAATCTCGGAAGAGATTTGTTGTAGATTACTGCAACCTTTGTTCTGATATTGTACAGTGGTTGATTGCAAAATGATTTTTAATCAATTGTCCGCTGAAAATAAACGTTAGACTGCTAAATACATAGTTCTCTATAAATTAAAGAACATCGGGAGTGACTATCTGTTTTCCAAAGAGAAGAATTAGAATTGAAATAAAATAAAAGTGAATGAGAGAGTTGAAATGAGGAGAGACTGGTTTTATTACAAAATTTATGACGTGCTTTATTGGAATTCTGAAAATTTCTTTTCTTAAACATAAAATAATTGTTAAAGAATCTAGAATCTCACATGAAGCCTGCAGTCAAGGGGAGATTTATGGAGCTCACTTGGATCATCAATTGGCTTCTCCAATGAATCAGGAATGAAAAATGAAAACGCCACTCCCTTCATTACAAAATTTATAACATACTTTATTCACATCCTGTCAAGTTCCGTCTCATATAAAAGTTTTCATTCTCAAATATTATAATTAAGTTATTCTTCATACCCTAGGATGCACAAGACAATGTATAATATACAAAAAGAAGAAAAAAAATTACATCTCCACCTCTCAAGCAGTCTACCTCACAATTAATCGTTACGGTTGTTCGCAATTGTACAGTCTGAGTTTATTCGCGGACAGGGCGCCAAGAACGACGGAATTTTGCAGTCTGAATGAGCATAAATCAACAACAGGAGTCGAAGCAGGAATGCTCTGCACCTCCTTCCCAGTCGCAACACTCCAGATGGGAACGCTCTTATTGGACTCCTGATGTGCAGCAACAAAGGTATCATCAGCAAAATTAATGTGACAGGGTCTCGACAGAATATTCTGCGTGTTGCCAGCAGCAAATGTATGCACAGTATTGCAAATAACCGTGCTCTCAGTGCCCTTCTCCACCGAAAAAACAATGTGCCTGGTCTGAGGATTCCTGGTATTGGGTCTGCATGAGATCAGTGCATGATGATTCTGCGAGTCATAACGTACACAGGTGAACGGGCCCTCGTGCAGCATCTGCTTAGCCACATAAACATTGTTCCTCATTTCATAAGCATAACAAGAGTTCAAGTGGCTAGCTAAAAATCCCCCCCTGGCCACTCCATTCGCGGAGCCCGGTGGCACACTGGCCAGCGACACAATGGGAGATCTGTCCCCAGGACTCTCCAACGTATCCAGCGCTCCAGCAGTCTGCCTAATATCAAACTGCGTGATCAGTCCCTTCTGCGTCCCAACGACAAAGATATTTGAGTTGTCCCCTGCCCAGCAGCAGCTCCACACCTGCGACTCCACCGGAAATCCGTGCACCACCTGATTATTATGAATGTCCATCAACTTTGCAGTCTTATCGAAGCTCACTGATAGCAGCAGTGATTGTTGCGTCTGGTGAAAAGCCATGTCCCTTATCGCCTGGCTGTGCAGCACAGTAAACTGCATCAGTTCGTACTTGTGCGTGTCAATCTTCTTGATCCCATACCCAGGAAAAATGGTGTTGGGTGACTTCTGCGAGACTGTCAAGTAGCCATACCAGGAGTTGTAATCCAACACCCTGCAGCAGGCGTCCTTGGCGATCTCAAAAGTCCTGTCCAGGTGGAATTTCCTGCTGGCACAGCCAGTCCCCATCTCCCTCATCTCCAGCTTAATGTCACGTCTCTCACTCTCCAAGTCCGTAATTCTCTGTGTCAGTTCCTTTATCCTATCTTGAGCAATTTTGTAGCGCAACTGAGATTTGGATATTTCGGACTCTATGCTCTTGTTCCTCGCTACTGCAGTCTGCAGCTCGTTCCTGAGGCGATCCAGCTCGATTGTGTCCACAGCTGAGAGGTTCGTCGTGTAGATCATTCTGATGTCCTTGGTGTTGGCCTTCGTGTTGCAGTGGGGGCACCTGCGATTCTGGGCTGAGCACTCCTGCTTCAACCACCTGAGCACGCACTTGTGGCCGAAGAGGTGGCCACAGGCCAGCGAGCACAGACGGTGGTCACCAGAATTCGTCCAGGGCTCCATGCAGATGGGGCAGGATCGACCCTCGTCTGGCTCGTCGCTCTCCTGCGTTAATGACTTCGGTTCCTCAATCTCCAATTTTCTCTTCTTCCTCGGCTTCTCCTCCTCCGACTCCGGGGCCGACGAGGACGTCGCTGAGGACGCCGTCGAGTCCTCGTTCTGGGGTATCTCCACCTGGGGTATCACCACCTCCATCACCTCGGGCGCATTCTGCTGGGAATTCTCGTTTATCGCTTGCACCTCGATTATGTTTGCCACGTTCTCGACGTTCTCGATTATCTCGATGTTCCCCACGTTCTCCAGGTCCACTGCCTCGATTATCTCGTTGGGGCGGAGCTCCACCCGCATTGGGGGGTCATCCACCACGACAACCTCGTCGTCCTCCTCCTCCTGGGCACTGGGGCTCGAGCTCTCCCCCAGGCCAACATCGTTACTCGGCTCTGGGATATTCATGAATATGTCCACTGAGTCATTCGCGTCAATGTCCACCTCTAGGTAATTGTGATCTGAAATGTTGAGGTTGGCTACTGGCCTTTGTTCTACGACGCAGATAATCCCGTAGGGTTCCCCCCCCCCCCCCCCCCCCCCCCCCCCCCTCCCCCC